GTATTTTTAGTAGAGACAGGATTTCACCATGTTGACCAGGCTGGTCTCGAACTTCTGACCTCAGGTGATCCACCCACCTCAGCCTCCTAAAGTGGTGGGATTACAGGCGTGAGCCACTGTGCCCAGCCGCACTCCAGATTATAATCCTCATTTCTATTTTAGAGTAAACCCAACACCCAACATATGTAGAGATAATTTTTTTCTAGCGTTTTTTTTCAGGCTGACAGGGTAATTGATATAAACAAGTTCCTACAGCACTTTTGTGACCATTTCTGGTCGCAAAAACGTCATCAAACTTCTAAAGACCCAAAAAACTTCTAATGTTTAACATTGAAATAAATGTCAATTTATTCTAACATCTAACACTTAACATTGAAATAAATGTATGTATAGCTCACATTTATAATGTACAAATGTGTATAATTTTAATATATAATTATCATATTATCAATTTTTATTTTATAATAATTTGTATTCATTTATCCATTCATTGATTTTCTGATTCATTTATTCCAGTTCAGGGTCACGGGTGGCTGGAGCCTATCCTGGCAGTTGAGGGTGCAAGATGGGAGCCATTCCAAACAAGGCACATGAACTCAGACTGGGACACTTTAGACACACCAACAAACCTAACCTGCACATCTCTGGAGTGTGGGAGGAGACCAGAGTACCCAGAGGAAACCCACACAGACATGCAGAGAAGGTGCTCTAGAACACACGCTAGCAATGGTGTCAGGCCTGGCCTCAGAGGGTGGACAGGAGGACCTTGCAGGGAAAATGAGAGAGCTGGCTCCCCTTCCTGAGCCCCGCTTCTTTTGAGACAGGGTCTCATTCTGTTGATGAGGCTGGAAGGCAGTGGTATCATCAAGGCTCACTGCAGCCTTGACCTCCCAGGGTTTGGTGATCCTGCCACTTCAGCCTTCCAAGTAGCTGGGACTACAGGCATATGACACCATGCCTGGCTAATTTTTTATATTTTTAAATAGAGGTGAGCTCTTACCATGTTGTCCAGGCTGATCTTGAACTCCTGGGCTCAAGTGATCCACCCACTTCAACCTCCCAAAGTGATGGGATCATGAGCCACCTACCTGGCCCTGGCTCCCTTAAAATGTGACCTTTGAAGGCAAAATGGTAGGTACAGTATAAAACACTGCAACAAACTCTAATAATTCCCTACATGCTTGCTTCTATCCTAAGTCTTATGCACAAAACCTGTAGCTGACAAAGGTTTGGGAAAGTCCAGCAGCTGTAATCAAACGAGAGTTTGCAGTCCCCACCAGAAAAGATGTGGTGTCAGATGAGGTGCAGACAAATGAGAGCACTTCCCTGATGAGTCACTTGCCTGAGTGATGTCACGAGCTGGGTTTTCACTGCCAGACAATCAGCAGCTGCTGGACTAGAACATTCCACATCACTGACAACAGCTCTTC